TTCAGAATGTCCTTGAAATGCCAGCGAATGCTTTACCGTATCCAATGTTCTCAATTGACTGCCCAAAACACATCTTCTGTACTATGTGCTTATAAAGAATTCACAATAAGATATTTCTCGAAGACGTTTATCTGACGTAGAAGATAATGTTCTCACGGACTAACAAATTATATCATACGAGCTCTGCGTATTAGGAGCGGTCGGTAGAACCGGTTGGTGAATGACATTGATAGTCAAAACGTAACATGACCTGACAGCAGAGCCCGCTAGTGAAGCGGGAGTCGTCCAGCGGTGTTGTTTCCGTCACGTTAAAACAAGCAATACGGTAAGAGAAAACGGTACTAGATTGTCAAAAATGAATTAGTCCGGTACCTCGCCACATACCCGCATGGCGGCTTTGTGGCTGTTCATTTTGTAAAGGTGCCTTTTTATATCATACTTGTAGACTTAGCTAAGCATGAAACTTCATCGCCGAAAAATGATTGTCGACATCGAATGTCTGCGAGAAATATGCTTTTGATCAGTGAAGAGAGCTTTCCTACTCGGTTCTCTCTCTAAAATGCGCTTCAGTAGGACATTGTGCTAACGAATGTCCACGTATTTACGTTTACTTTACTGGAACGTTTTGCTGGCTTTTTGATCTGTCTGTATGGTCGTATTTGCCGAAAAAACCCTATGTACATCAATTTCGTTTACGCTTCTGAAAGCAACCCGCTCTTTGACTGATAATTTAACGAATAAATCAGACTGTCTTCCACAATACCCTATAAACAGTTATTGGATGCCTGGTGTTCCAACGTAGACAGTACTGACCACGCGCAACTGAGTAATCTTCGAGGGGTCCGTCACGACTAGTGGGTTGAAGCAGGGCAGAGTACACGCTCCCGCCCGATTCGGTCGCATGTTCTCCGCTGTACTGATGTACGTCCACTGTAAGGATCGGCCGGCTATCGATATCAACTATCGAACGGACGGCGGAAAACTGTTCAACAGTCATCGCCTGAAAACATTAACGAGGGTATTCGGTCTTTTTGACTCTGTCTTGAGACCGGGCTCAGGTGGGCGAGGGCGGAGGGAGTACAGCAGAGGCTTCGAAGGCCTACAATCACTCTAAAGTAATTCACGCTCAGGTCTCTCTCCCTGCACCCGTCATGCTGTAAGCACACGGTTGACATCACTGTTTGCTACACTCAAACTGTCATCGTCAACCACCTTGCCGACCCTGACGCGCGTTCTGGAGTACGACCTCGGTAAATCATTAACAGCAGATCCAGGAATAGCTATATGTTCTCATTCAGACACGCAACTCTTCCCCTCATTCCCCTGAGCTTCGACCTCCTTACACTCCCGCACTCCTTTCTCACTGCAATGCGCGCTCCTTGCTTGCTTGCTTGCTTCCTGTCCGACCTCCTATAAATGCACGAGTCTCCCCCATTCTGGCTCGTTTATTTTAAGGGCGGGTCGCTGTTAACAAGTTGGACATCGACGATTGCGATGCTATCTCCCGGAAGAACATTTCCGTTTTCCCGAAGGTTATCTGAGAACGCATGAGTAACAAATTCAGCCCCCTATAAAAAGACTGGAATTTTAACAAGCTGTGCTTTCTGCTCGGAGGCAGGAGTTGCGTGGTAGGCAATTTCTTTTAGAAACATTCGTTCTTGTTAAAAAATACCTGACGAACTGAGAAGAAAGGCAAGAAATAAAGTAAAAGTGAGGGGGTCGGTCGTAGGAGTATAAACGCTCCCGTACTACAGGCAGTCTCGTGCTAAATTCGAGGAAGTACCTATTCCCATGTCCAAACTTTAACCCTAACCTTAACACTAATCCCAACTCTAACCCCAATGCTTACCCTATCCATACGGGAATTAAGAGGAAGGCTACCTGTCGTACGCAGGGGGCTGCATCCCCGCGCTCAACCAGTAAGGAAAGTAGAAAGATAACTCTTATTATTCTAAGCTTTGACTCTGTTGTAAGCAACGAAAACCTACAACAAGTCGACAAGTCATCAAATACTTTGGTAAAGGTGCGATGCAGTGTGCAGTGTTTTCTTATTTCTGCAAAGGAATGACAAAAATAACAAATACTACCAAAAGGACGAAATAATCAGTAAGTGGAAGGATCAATCTCTTTTGCGAGAAACGTCAAACCGATACTTGAGAATTAAGCTGTTTGGCCAATTTACTCTGGCTTGAGAAGTCCAAAGGAATCAAGGCAAAAAATGGAGGAAAAGACTCGAGATTGCGCACAATTGCGATTTTCAAAACAGCATTAACAACAGTGGCTAATCCAAAATCCAGAAGCCATTAGAATGTGACAGATTCTCCTTGCGTGTTCGCGCTCTGTGACGGCCGAGCCAGTGGACCAGTTACGCCTTAGCGTGGGAGACGGCAGAGCTGCTGTCTGATAGCGTGTTTCGCTCCCTCCTATCACGACCATCGCCGAAACTTTGCGCCCTTGATCTTTCTGCCTTTTTTTTTACGGACATAGCTTTTTCGCCGGCTAAAATTTAGGTGTTCGTAGGTTATAACTTGAGCCGTTGCGATTTCGCCATACTGGTGGTTGAAAATAAGGACACCAGTGAGGCGAACGCGTTGCAACCTGGGGGAATATTTCTTCGAGCATACCACCCAGAGCCCTGAAACAAATAAACGGGGTAAACTTGCCTAGACTAGTCACTCTAGTTTTACATCTTGGGCAGAGTTTTGAACCTTTGGTCTGGATTAATGAAGCCGGCCTTACTTGCGAGAGTCTGCAGGCTACAGGAAATTTAAATCAGCAATTAAAGGGACGCTTGGCAGCTGGTCGGGAGAGAAGAGGAGAAAGGCGGTGAAGGTAGGCAAAAAAGGTAACAATAGGACAGAAATGAACGCTAAGAAGCAGGACACTGGAAACAATCTCAAAATAAGCGATATTGCGATAAAACAATCGTAATTCGTTTATTTTGTTCCATAATACATAATAGGATGACGATGCTGATGCAATTATAGGGAACAACGTGCCGGCAAATAACACCATACTGAAGGCCTCTATATTCGTTGTTGTCATCTGTACTCGGTCTATCTCGCAGCATAATAGCCGAAATTCTGAAACATGTATTTGATTAGAAAGTATTGCTTTGGTGGGAAGTGAAGCTAGAGTGTAGGACATCCAAATAGATGGCAACTCAAAAAATATGCCCTAAAATTCAGTGTGGCTGTAAATATTACTCATTATTCACCGTTCCTATTGTTCGAAATTTCCTTCCCTCCCTGAATAAATGTAAACTCTGGAAGAAGGACAGCCCGGTTCACTTCCGTTTCTGGATGTGCTCCTAAGTAGAAGGCCTGTCGACAGCATTTGACTTAGCGTCTATCATAAGAAAACGTGGTCCAGACAATACATCCATTATTGCGCGCCCTCCTGGCGTCTGTGCCGAAGGCAGATAAGTTGACTGTCCTTGGTGACTTCAACGTCCGCTTCGGCACAGACCATGCTGTCTAGAAAGGAGTGCTTGGATCCGTGGTCTCGATGGCCTCAACGACAACGGCCTGCTCCTCCTAAAAACCCGCGCAGAACACTTGTTCATCCTGACCAACACCTACTTCCGCCTCCCGACGCAGGATAAAGACCCCCTGGATGAACCCTCGGTCGCGACAATGGCACCTGCTGGACTATGTCCTCTTACGGAGGCGAAACCAGCGGGGCGTGCTAGAGTTAAAGGCGATTCCAGGTGCCGACGGGTGGGCCGACTATCGCCTTGTCGTTCCCAAGATGAAAATTCACCTTACAGTCACGTAGAAGACCTCAATGTAAGCTACCACCGTGTAATCTGAATATTGCTTTGTTTAATTTGCCCGCTCACCATCTTCATTTCAGCAATGAGCTAGCCCAGCGGCTAGCCAGCCTTCCAGTCACCGCCGTCGCTGACGAGCATGCCTCCGTGGAGAACCGATAGTGTCATCTGTTGGACGCAGTCCACTCGACCGCCCTGGCTGTACTCGGTCGCGCACATCGCCAACATCAAGACAACGACGCCGCCATCAGCAACCTACTGGCGGAGGAGAACCACCGGCACAAAGTCTACGTCAACCGTCTCATCGACGACAACAAAACAGCCTTCTACCATAGTCGCCGCCTTATACGACAACGGCTGCGCGAGATGCAGGACGCTTGGGCGGCTTGCAAGGCTGAGGAGATCCAAGGTTACGCGGACCGCAAGGAATGGAAGAACTTCTTCTCGATCAAGGCTGTCTACGGTCCGCCAACCAAAGCAGCTGCTTCTCTTCACAGCGCTGACGGCAGTACCCTACTCACTGAAAAGACACAAATTCTTCAGGGATTGACCGAGCACTTCAGAGGCGTCCGCAAGGGCCCCTCAACTATCTTCGACGCCGCCATCGGCTGCCAACCTCAAGTGGAGACTAATACCGACATCGACCTTCCGCTCTCTCTCCACGAAACCACCAAGTTCATGCAGCAACTCTCCAACGGGAAAACACCCATATTGGACGCGATCCCTGCTGAGATCTACAAACACGGTGTTCCCCAACTCACAGATCATCTAACAAAGATCTTCTAGGAGATTTAGCGTCAAGGAGAAGTACCGCAGAATTTCAAGGACGCCATAATCGTCCATCTCTATGAGAGGAAAGGTAATTGCCAATTCTACGACAATCATTGAGGCATCTCTTTGCTGAACACTGCCGGGAAGATCTTCGCCCTCATTCTCGTCAACCGTATGAACTACCACCTGGAACAAGGTCTCCTGTCGAAAAGCCAGTGCCTTCGTGGACCTGACGAAAGCCTTCGACACGGTGAATCGCGAAGAATTGTGGAAAACCATGCAGATATTCGACTGTCCACAGCGATTCACTCAGATGGTGCGTCAGCTTCACGATGGCATGATGGCGCGAGTTACGGACAATGAAGCTGTCTCAGTGGCACTCACAGGAACCAACTGAGTGAAGCAAGTCTGCGTCCTCGTGCCTACCCTCTTTAGCCCCATATTGTTTGTCATGCTAATGGACGCCTACCGTGAAGAACGTCCTGGGATCCGCATTGCCTACAGGATGAACGGCCACCTCCTCAGTCAGCGGCGGATGCACTTCCAGTCGCGTGTTTCCACAACTACTGCCCATAAACTTCTCTTCGTCGACGACTGCACTCTCAACGTCACACCCGAAGGGGAATTGCAAAGGACCATGGACTTCTTCGACACCGCCTGCGACAACTTCGGCCTGGTCATCAACAGGGAGAATACGGTGGTCATGCATCAATTGTCACCCGACGGCCCCTACATCGCACCCGAAATCAACGTGAACGGCGTCCAAATGCAAGTCGTGGGCAACTCCACGTATCTGGGCAACACACTCTCCCGCACCACCAAGATCAACGATAAAGTGGCTCGTCAGCTTTTCGAAGCCAGCCAAGCATTCGGCCGCCTCCAAAACACCATCTGAAACCGTCACGGTTTACAAATCACGCCAAACTGAAGACGTACGAGGCACTCATCCTGCTGACGCTGCTGTATAGAGAGGAGACGGTCTACACGAAATAGGCGCGAAGACTCAGTCATTTCAACCTCAGCTGTCCTCCACAGATACTGATCCTGAGGTGACAGCACCGGATCCCGAACACGTATGTACTGGAGCGGACGGGAATCCTCAGCATCTACGCCTTGCTGAGACAGCTGGAAATGCGTTGGAGCGGCCACCTCGAGTGGATAGACGAGGAGCGGCTGTCAAAACGACTCCTCTCAGGGGATGCTGTCACGGGTGCCCGCCAACAATGAGGTCAAGTCGATCGTTACAAGGACATTCTGAAGAATTCATTGAAACGCCTGCAAATCAACCCGACTGACTAGGAGGACCTCGCCCGAGACCGACCGACCTCGAGGAGGACAGTGAAGACAAACGCATCGCTGCCGCCAAACCCAAACGTGAGGCTCGCAAATCTTAATTGCATCCACCTCGCAACGCCAACGTTCAACCACGCCCGACCTGTCCACGCTGCCAGCGGACACTCCGGGCACCAATCGGCCTTGCAGGACATCATACCACCCCGACTACACCAGCTGCGGTCTCCCTGTCCAACTCTGCGTCATCCTCCATGCCGGCAACTATAACTGGCCGCGCGCACGAATCCCACTATAACCCACTTCCTCCTCCTCCTCCTCCTCCTCCTCCTCCTCCTCCTCTTCCTCATCATCATCATCATCATCATCATCATCATCATCATCATCATCATCATCATCATCATCATCATCATCATCATCATCATCATCATCATCATCATCATCATCATCATCATCATCATCATCATCATCATCATCATCATCATCATCATCATCATCATCCTCCATCGCCTCGACGTCCATTACGGCGTCTCCCGTACCTACCACTACTACGCACAATCTGACGCACCAACAAACATCAAGCTCCCCACCGTAAACTACAGGGATGTGAACTCTATCCGTACCTGTCTTCATTGCGATAGCACCTTCACCTCACACATCGGCCTGGTCGGTCACTTGCGGATCCATCGCACAGAGACTGGCGAACCAGTGCCTAGAGCGCCCACATACACTTGCCACATCCACCACCACTGCCGTCACTGTGCCTGCACGTTCACCTACCGCATGGGCCTATTAGGCCACAGACGCATTTACGTAAAGCTGCGGTGGACAACCGCCGGCTAAACCACACTATCACATCTTCCCCCACCTACGTCTCACAACAGCATCACCAACCACAAGCATCCAACCGCCACCCCCACGCAAGTGAAAAGTGTGAGTCTCGACTCCGTCTCCATGCGACTATTCTGCTGCGTGTGTGATTCGAGTCGAGACTATCACTGTGCGCCCAGCATCGTGGCTTGAAAGGCCGTTGACTGACGCCCCAATTCAGTCCACACAGTCTGCCCAGTTGTATGTGCGTCTGTGTGGAGTGGTGGACTGGTGGGCTGAGAGCCAGGCTGAAGCCCCTCCTTCTTAACGTGGCCTACGGCACTCTCACGCATGTGTTATGTACACCACTCAACCCCCGTTGTGTGAAATCCTGGTGTTTGTGTTTGGGGAGCCAGGTCGTGCGTGTGGCGCGCGCAGACAAGGTCACTAGATATGTCAGCCACTGCGCCCATTCCCCGCTCCAGTCAAGTGACCAGCCCGGACAGTGAGTGGGCATGGGACTGGGAAAGGAAAGTGCGGTCAAGGACTCAGCGCATTTTCCTCACTAAAAACAATCTGACGCGCTTGGGGCTATCACGGTGCCCTAAAGGCTGTGGCTTGGAAGGTTGCCACATGACGGGATAACTTGGACCTCGCAGTCGGCCCACTGTTGTGTGTTTGTACGGAGTGGCCGACTGGTGGTCTAAGAGTCAGGCTGCAGTGGCTCCTTCTTAATGCGGCTTTTATCGCGCTTCCACTGTGTGGGATCTGAGCCAGGTGTGACGGCACGCCCAGGTGCGACTCCGGCCATAGCAGCCATTCTTTTATTGTTGGTCAAAAATCTGGTCATTTGTTGTTTGGACCTGGGGGTGTGGAGTGGAACGCCAAGGTACGGGCTCGACCGTGCCATCCACCTGCGCCCTCCCCCGTCTCCGATCTTCTTGGCTCTGTCTTGACACCGGGTCCTGGTGGGGAGGAGGAGTGAGTGTGGTAGATGCAGCGCAAGTCTACTCTCACTATAAATCAGGCATATGTCACTGTCCCTGCTCCACCTTGCTGTGGAGCACAGGGTGGACATCGTCGGCAACGACGGTCTAACTATCGGACAGCAGAGCACGGGTTGTTTTGAAGTAACAATTTCCTTGAACTTGTTTTCGGACGTTGAAAATAAGACTAAAACCAGTTTGCTGACAATTTGATAGGATGTCTTTGGGGTCTACACAAGAAGTAATCTTTACTTTACTGGACTGAGAACATCAAGCAGTGCCCTGAAAACGCCAAATCGACAGAAATACCTGTTTCTGTCTCAGACAAGGCGCAGTATGGAAAATAGCAGTACTGAACTTACCCCTCAGAACTGAACTGCTGACGCAGAGCCGCAATTTCTGCGCATCCACTGACAACAGTCATCCATTCAAACAGATCGTAATTTAGAGGGAGGTCAGCTAAATATGGAGAAACTTCGAACACCACCTCGTACTTTAAAGCGAAAAATGTTCAGTGAAAGGATTGAAGCGGGCCTTAATTTTCTCAGAATTACCTTTTAAGTAAGTGGTTAATGACAATGATTAGATCTACTTAAAAACGATTTTGAGTAAGCAATGAGAAGACCAGTCGAGCCCAAAAACTATTTGCTTATTTTTCTGAACTTTGGAACTTGTGCAGTTTAGCGTTAGAGATAACCGTAGCAACGGAACAGGCGACAGTTATAGGCGATATTGGCCAATCAGCGGTCGGTGACGCAAAGCTGGAGATGACGATACAGGACTCCGCATTCCGGCGCCCTAAATCCATTGACAGGGTCTTCACTCGAGGTCCAGGGTTCAGTTAATTCTCATATTGCTTTGCTTCTGGTATGATCAATTATCTCGGCGTTTGCGAATTTGAACTCGTGGACCGTTCCGAAGGTATGAATAACCACTTTCGATAATTCGTTGCCATGGCGCGCAGCCGGCTTATTTTCGTGTGTGCGCGATCCGTGCATGTGTTCAGTTCGATCTGAGCGGTTTCAAGGACATTTTATGCACGGGATACGATATATTACGCCCTCGGCAACAATGCAAAAATATCGTTCTCATACCTTTCCTGTAGATATAAAGATACCTCAAATCGAATAAAGCATTCTGAGCCGCGATCGCAGAAGCCACCGACAATTTTGCCCATATTTTCGTCCGTGATTGTGGATCCAAGTATATAGGGGCGACAACGAGGACAGTAAAGAGACATGTCCGTTGAGTAAATGTCAAAACGACTGCTGGAGTGGGAACATGAAGTCATCCACATATCAGTTAGGAAGAAATCATTAAACAAGACCCAGTCCTTTTGACCCATAATTATCTTCCAGCTTCGTCTTAGGCATTTAAACACTTCAGATTTCGCCAAGTTCGAAGGCAATGTAAATTTAGGGCGGAAAATCAGACCGGTTTAAGCGACTTCAATTTAATTTGCAGTCTGACTTCTATACGTTAAAACTCTGTCACCCATACTTGATTCTGAGAAGGGCTTAACGAAGTTTTGATAGGGTTGGATTTACACCCAAGAGTCGGCTGAATAATCCCGACTTCGTTGACAATGTTGTCATGCTAACACCAGGCGTTGACAAATACTAGAATTTACTATCTCAAGTGGAGGTCACTAAACTGGTCGGTTTGTCCACAGACGCTGTGAAACCCAAGGTGCACTTAAAACTGCACTTCTAATCGGGAAGAACCAGCTGGCAGTTTGCAGCATTAGGCAGTTTGGAATACATCGGGTTGGGACTACTGTAGGACGAAAGGAATAATGAGGACACTGTCTCTTGTGTCGATGCTGCTCTCAGGGTTTTTGCAATTCTCTGAGAATGTATATGAACCTGACGCGACATCGCCGAGGCCCCAGAGACCTTCATGCACCCGGCAACAATTCTGTTAGTTCTCATATACGATTGTTAAGGATGGGTCGTGCGAGTGGAAAATGTGCGAAGACCGGCGGTCATTGCCCACCGTCACCTGAGGATCATCCTTCGTGCGAAGTACACTGACTTTGTCTTAAGTCAGACAGTCAGCTCCTGCGTCGACTGAAAACCATGTTCATTACCATCCGCTAGGAGATGGAAGGTTACATCTAGGAGATTTCGACAGTTACCAACATGGAATAAAGTTCTTTATTGATTCAGGCACTCTAGCTTCTTGCTCTCTGATTAAAAACGTTGTTAGCTGTCCGCGTAAACGACACTTGAAAGATAACGACTTAGATGCTACAAGTTTTTCCGATTGAGAAGTGGCATAAGTACTCCCCCTGCATTACAGGTTCTGAGAGTTAGGGTTACGGTCGGGGTTGTGTTATGTTTAGGGTTAGTAAGTAGGGTTAAGTAATTTCTGCTTGAAAGTGTCCTCAAAAAGGAGGATCCAGTATTACATCACAAAAGATGTCGTAAAGATAGCTTGAGCATGTTAAGTAATCACTCGTTGAGCAAAAACTGCAAGTTATGCTGTAATACATTGTTTGGAGTGTTTGCAGTTTTCTCAACACATACATAATAAATGGATCATACTACGCGTTTTGAACTGTCCCCTCGGTGTTTTAGTGACAGTCTGAACGAAGTCAAATCCCGAGTATTTACCTCGTCAGCTATTCTTTTTATAAACAAGTGGGAGGCAAATAAATCCACATGCGACGTCCCGCAACTGGCGCTGAATGGAGGACATATGGCGTCGGGCGTACCTGATGGAGGAGGTCTAGCTGGACAAAAATCGCGACGTCGATTTCTAGAATTTTGCTTAAACTGCGCTAGAAAGCCAGACAAGTTACTTTTACCGCCGTACTTTAGAGACCAAGTGTAGCGTAAGTGACGGCCCGCAAACGTAAAGGAACGGCCAGTTGCAAAAACAGATCTAAAACGGAACCATACGAGTCTGACGTGTTGTTGGTGGCAGCCGAGCGCCAAGTCGAATACTTGGCCTTTCTCCAAGGGATGAGGAGTGACCTGAGACAACTGGTCGCCTTTCCAGACTGTCCGTTTATTTGAAAATGGAGGGGCAAGCAAGGATTTGCCATGGTAACAGATTTCGTCTTCTAGTTACGGTTATCTGTTTCCATTAAGTGTGTACTTACGCAAATCGACAGACGCAAAGGAGGCAATTCCTTTCGATCTTTATGACATCAATAGTGAAAGCTCAGACCTGTTGGTAAGGCAGATTTTAGTGGATCTGGTCCCCGACACACATGTCTCCTTCGACTTACTTGATTTGAAGTCCCCACTGCGTGGATGATAATTTCTTACAATGCCACCCGGGCAGCAGACTTAAATTTTAAATTGAAAAAATAGAAGGCTGGTAGCATTCTCCAGATAGGTTGTCCTGTGTCTTGGATGCTCGACGGTGACCTGCTAGTCTACGATTAGGGGCACGTGCTCATCACTGCCTCCTCCCTTGTCAATCCTGTCATGTCCCAGTGTCGAGACTAAACCATGCTCAGCGGAAATGGGCATGATACAGCAGCTGGCTTAGCGCAAAACCCGTCTACGAGTTCTAAACGCGCGCCAGTCCCTCAGCGCGCATGAAACAAACCTTGTTAACTCAGATCTCACACGGCTAAGAGTTTTATAAAGAAAAAAATCAGAAATTAACTACAGCATTCTGGGCTCAGTTCAGAGGAGGACAGAGTTGGCCCGCCAATTGGCAGCCCTCCAAGTCCGCATTTTCGGCGAATCTTTAATATGTCCCCATCCAGCG